AAATCGAAAATCTACAGTGCGCTCTTCTCAAAAAAAAACATCTAGAGTGAAATCTAAGGTTGGTACTGGACAAAGTCAAGCCTCGAAGACAAAATCGAGCAGAAAGCGTCCCAGAATCTCCACCAATTCCAATTCGGATTCCAGTTCTGATTCCACTTCTGAAGATGAACCCGAAAATCCAACCAGTTCAGAAACCGAACAAGCCAACCCAACCAGCAAAAACCAACACACATCAAACAGGCCACCCCAAGATGAAGAAGTCGGTTTTGATTTGGACAACTTTGAATCCCACTTGGAATCTTGGTCGTTAAGCGAACTCCGAGCCACCTTGCAGAAGAAAAAACACGGCACCTCCAATCGCATTTCACCCGAGGTTCAAGAAAGATTAGAGTTGCTTCAGCAAAACTATATGAAAAGCAAGCTCATGTTGGCTCTCATTGGAAATGTTGCGGAAAAGACAGTCACCAAGTTTCTGTGAGTTTTTTTTCGAAGTCATACATTACCTTCAGTCTAAGGATTAGAACTGATGATGTTTCATATCAATTTTTCAGCGGAGAAAACAAGCCCCCCCGTAGAAAAAGTGGATGGAACCGATTTGCTGCATTCAGCCTTGAGAGTTTGAAATATCCAGGTAATTTCTGGAAACATCTTTTGAAACATCTTTGACACTGATTATTTCCCTATCACAGTTCCGCCAAAGGGTGCCTCCAAAGGGTGGGAGGAGCAAAACATAGAGATCGGAAAGGCTTGGAAATTGCTGGATGTTGATGAGAGGGCTGTTTTTAGTGCCCGGATCTTCCAACACTTCTCTGGAATACCATGCAACTTTGAAGATGAGCCGGAGGACAATGAAGAAGAATCGGATTTGACCACTGATGAAATCGAATTAAATAAACCACTTTACAATAAGTTGGTGAACATCGAAAAGGTAAACATATTTGCTGCTAAAGGATCGGAATGTCAGGGTGAAAACACCAGTCAAACCTATAAAAAAGCTTTGAGTGCCACACTCAAGCTGAACTCCGAGGTGAGTGAATTACTTATTTCAAAATTACTCACTTTATTGTACACTAATGGGCAGCTTATGAACAAACCAGCTGTATACAATACAACCTACTATCTACTGACAGCCACATGATCTCTGTGGAAAAATAGTTTCTGTAAGGAGTACTCAAACGATGCGGCATGGCTTGGCTTGGCAAGAAGAAATGGTCGGCAAAAGAAACTTTT